AACACAGTGAGTAATGGAGAGGATGAGACTGGATTTTTAGCAGTCTGACTCCAGAGCCCGAGGCCATAGCTGCTCAGCAGAGAGACTGTCTCCGTTAAGCCCCAGGATGGTTGCAACCACCAAGGGCCCCAGCAAGGCAAAGCTGCATGGCATGCTTGCTTTTGAGATCATCCTTTGTGGCTGCAGACCCAAATTCAGCCCCAGTTCTCCTTTTGCTTCATTCTGGTTTCCAAGAGCCCTCAACTATATATTTTTTCCTAGGACTTCTCTCCCCTTAAGTCTTGTTCATCAAAAAGTATATTCTCTTCCATCCCTTCACCCTCAAGTTTAACTTTTCACTATTGCTTAGGCCAAAGGATCATCCTATTGGAATAATGACATACTGTGTGTGTTAATGACACTTGACTATAGGTGAATGGTTCTTAGAAGGAGGAACTTGAAATTCCCTGTGATCCAGTGGCTAGGACTCCATACTGTCAGTGCAGAGGTCCCAGGTTCAATTTCTGGTCAGAGAACTAAGATCCCACAAGCTGCGCAGCATGGCCAAAAAATGAAGAATTTGGTAGTCTGAGGCAGATTCTTGAACACAGTCATTTTCTGCAGTTTCTTGCCTGCAGTGCTTCTCAATACAGACTGGAAGAATGAGGCTCAATAATCTGATCACTTATTTTCTCTTCCTGACCCATGCCACTTGTGAGCTGCAACATGGAGGCCAACTTCTGTATGAAAGACAAAAAAAAACATAATTTGTTCTGTGATTGACTTGGGAGCTCAGAGAAATAAAAAGAATTAAGATATGTACTGGATTTTTAGGGAATAAAAGCATTACAGTAAGAGAACAGGAACTAGGGACAAATACAAAGAAAGTTTTGAAAGTTTTCCTTCAAGAAGAGATTTCTGCATTTTAATCCACATATTCAGCTTAGGCCCACTACATGTAAGGGGTTTAGAGCTTATGGATAAAGAGAAGGTTATCCTTTAAGTCAAGAAATAGAACATAGTACAAAGGAAAATGACTGGTTCTAGTTACAATCTTGAAGCTAAAGCACAGAATTAGAAGTATGTCCTTTATAAAAAAAGGGCATACGTGTACTTTAAAGTTGTGTATTCAGACTTGAGATTTGAAAAGCATGGGTTAGATATGATTCTCAATATACTTGGGGCAACAAGATAAGCCACATTTCTGTGTATGTGAGGGGGAGTTTGAGGTTTGTCTCAGTTACATTGGTTTGAAACAAATGTTAAGACAAGTTGGTCAGGTCAGTTAAGAAAAGAAGTGAGTAAATTGTAAATTTAAAACAAAAGTAAGTCAATCAAAATGTCTGCTTTTCTGGCTAGGTTTGTTTACAAATTTTCTAGATTATCAATCATTTAAAGCAGTTGAGTTGGTTTGTACATAACTGTAGGGCCCCTGGTTTAGTGGTAAAAGAGAAATTCATATTTTTAATTGTCTTATGGTGAAAGATTTTAGCTAATCAAAATCATAATAAATGAGTAATAGTCTCAAGTAATTTTTTTCTGTATTACTTGAAGAATATGTTCAAGTTTAACCAAAAATGATGACTTTTTTAAGTTAAATGAGTTTTCATTTTGAGAAAATGATACAGATTTGGATTCAGACAATAAGACACAAGGTGCTAAACCTGCTTAGGGTGTAGGTAACCATCTACCTTGTATGGTTTTATAGGCATCAGGGGTGGGGCTTCCCTCTACTTTATTTATGCTCTCCCGCGGGCTAATGACAAAATGGTCTTCTTTTGGCTTACAAATGTACTTATTATAAACATTTAACTGCTTCTAAAAAGGAAAACATTTACCATTATCCTTCACAGGAAAGATGGCAGATATGTGACCTTCATGCTTTCCCTCCTGGCTGCCATTCGCCATTAGCCCAGATTTCTTCCCCCATGTGTCTAGTTCCAAAAATCCACTTTTCAACATAGCTGTCCAGGAAGCCCCTTGGAATCAATTAGACTTGACCTTTGAGTTGACCCTTGCTCGACACTCCTGATTTATATCTTATGTGAATGAGTTTATTAAATCTTTGAAGGAACATATTTTAAAACTGAGAAAGTAAAGAAGTGTAAGGTGTTTGGATATGAGGGCAAGACTAGGACATTACCACCCTTGGTGGTATATAAACTTTGCTCATAACATTTTAGGATGGAGGGGTGTGTGTGTGTGTGTGTTAGTCATTCAGTCATGTCTGAGTCTGTGAGCCCATGGACTGTAGCCTGTCAGGTTCTTCCGTCCATGGGATTTCCCAGGCAAGAATACTGCAATGGATTGCCATTCCTTTCTCCAGGGGATCTTCCCAACCCAAGGATCGAACCCCAGTCTCCCGTATTGCAGGTAGATTCTTTACCATCTAAGCCACCAGGGAAGCCTTTAGAAAGGTAGACCTACCATATATCAAATATCTACTGTGTGCTGTGTAACAGTGCTTTGTGTTTGTCTTGCATTTTTTTTTTCTTTACAGCAGTTCTGTATGGGAGTGTGTGGGTGGACAGGTGTGTATGTATGAGAGAAAGAGACAAACAGGGACAGACAGAGCTATCTCAAGTGTTCAAAAGAGGAAATCAAGCCTCCATGATATCAAAATGACTTGTTCAAGGTGAAAGACCTAGCAAGTTCCGAGCAATAGTGCAGGCCTCAAGTGTTCCTACCTTTCCAGTACACACTGCAGGTATACACATTGTGGACAAAGTAATGTAGAATTGTATCAGGATGTGTGGCCAAAGAATCTGCTCAAGATGACCTGCGTTTTCAGAGCCATGCACCTTAGCAACAAAATTCAACATAAATTTGAGTGGACAAAGAGTTGAAACCTCTTTTTTTTTAACCTTTGTTATTTATGCTGATGAACAGTAATGCAGTTCCCTGAAGATTATGTGAATCAAGATACTTTCCCGGTGTGCATTATATATTATCTAAGTTTTGCTTGTAAGTTTCCTTCTGAGATATTTGACTATTCTTGTTCATAGTTAAATTTTCTAATTTCATTACACATACTTATCAGATAGCATTGAGTAAAATGCTTTTTGGGGAGCTATATTATAATAAATACTTAATGAATAAAGAAATAGCATTCTGAGAATGGCACAATCAGTTTTAGTATTAGATTTGGATTTCAGTAGTCTTATATCAGTATGTGCAATTTTTAAAGTTAGTGATTAAAGCAAGAATTTTACCGGACCTTTTATTTGTAATAGATATAAAACTGATTTTGTATTGGATCATTTTATAAATTTCTAATAAGTATGGGCTATTTTATTTTTAATTTCAGTTGACCTCATGAGGAACAGTTTCAGTACTTATTTCAAATTAGGATTAATGAATATATTTTTATACTGATTCTTCTATGATAACATTCTATTGCTTAAGGAAGTCAGGTAATAAGTATTTATTGAGCACCTACTATATGCCCAACAGTATACTGAAACACTGGTTAGAATGCTGTAAAAAGTTACAACCAATGGATTCCTAGTGTTGAAAAAGCTTTCCATGTGGCCAGACTGTAGCATAGCTATAGTCAGAAGCATCTATGGAATGATCTGCTACAGCTCAAATGCATCCTCTAAGGTTCTCATTAATAACAACAAACACTTATGTACCACTTACTAGGTGCTCAGCCTCCTTCTGCAAACTGCATAGTAATTTTTTGAATCCTCTTACAACCTTGCAAAGTGGACACTCAGTTTTATAGAACAAATTTGAGGCACAAAGAGATTAAGGAACTTGACCAAGATGAAAGCCGCTAGGTGGTTGAGCTAAACTTTGAACCCAGGCTGTCTCACTGTGCATCCATGTATTTACCATATATTAGATGTCTGAGCTGGAAGCTCTTGTTTTAATCCAAGTGGGAGCAGGTGAGTGTCTGAAAAGAGGGAGGCAGTATAAATGAGAAACTTGATAGTTGAAGTGACACATCAAGGATCAGACAGTTAACTAAAATCAAATTAGAATCAAGGTTAGATGTCTAAATGAATCTATTTGTATTTTAGAATGTATTCTGAAATTTGCTGACAAAGATCTGTATAGTCAAAGCTATGGTTTTTCCAGTAGTCATGTACAAATGTGAGAGTTGAACCATAAAGAAGGCTGAATGCCAAAGAATTGATGCTTTTGTACTGTGATACTGGAGAATACTCTTGAGACTCCCTTGAACAGCAAGGAGACCAAACCAGTCAATCCTAAAATAAATCAACCCTTTAGGAATATTCACTGGAAGGACTGATGCTGAGGCTGAAGTGCCAATACTTTGGCCACCTGATGTGAAGAGCTTACTCACTGGAAAAGATTGGGAAACAACCTGATCCTGGGAAAGGCTGAGGACAGGAGTAGAAAGGGGTGTCAGAGGATGAGATGGTTGGATGGCATCACTGACTCAATGGACATGAGTTTGAGCAAAGTCCAGGAGACAACGAAGGACAGGGAAGCCTGGTGTGCTGCAGTCCATGGGGTTGTGAAGAGTCGGACATGACTTAGCAAATGAACAACAGCAGTTCTGAACAGTGTATATTTGAGGGAAAAGAGTAATCACATTATCAAGTCCGAGCTAGGGTGACCATATCATATGAATCAAACCAGGACACTTTTGAGAGTAAAATTGTTATTAATACACCAGGATTCTGGTATAATTGTGGGGCCATCATGGAATGAAGAGTACAAATGGTCACCCACTTCACAGCCACCAAAAGAGGTGCTTCTGAAATGCTCCTTTTAGAAACCGCAACCTCTTGATTTCCAGTCATGAATGCAAATCATCCTGGGTGGAAGAGCATATATTTAGGACTGGATTTCCAGCTGGGCTTCTTTATTGTGGGTTGCATCTAAGGACCAGTTCCCTATCCACCGTCTCTCCCTCAGTGCACACATGTCACGCAAGCCACTGTAATCAATAAGTTGTTTGGAAGAAAAAAGGTGGACTTCATTGTATTAATTCCTCTGGCATCATCTCCATTGTCTTACATCTGCTCATTTCTGATTGCTGCTTACAGTTACTCCGCTCTGCCGCTGATTGGTCTGCTGGTATCAAGTACCATGAAGAATCCATCCATGCTGCTTACGTCTATGTGATAGAGAACAGCAAGCACTATATCTATATAGAAGTAAGTGTATGTATTTATTTGGCTGAACTGGGTCTTAGTTGTGGCATGTGGGACCTTGGTTGTATGATGTGGTATCTTTATGTTGTGGCACATGGACTTTCTAGGTGTGATGCACAAGCTCTGTAGTTGTGGCACACAGGCTCCAGAATGTCTGGGCTCACTTGCTCCACCGTATGTGGGACCTTAGTTGCCCGACCAGGGATTGGGACTTGCATCCCCTGCATTGTAAGGTAGATTCTTAGCTTCTGGACCACCAGCGAAATCCCTAGAAGTAAGTCTGGCTTGTTCAATTGGTATGACAGTCTGCCTCCCTGTAATATCACACGGAGTGCAGGGTCCCCACTCAGGACTTGCTCCATGAATGAGTGCATGTTAAGATGTGAAGAGGTCACCTGAAATTTGACTTCCCTGGCATACCTGACATTCACTCTGCATTTTCATTAACTTGGGACTCTAATAGAAATTCCCCAAGTCCTTATTATCAGAATGTATCCATTTGTAATGTTATTAGCCAGAAATATCCCACCATGGAGATGTAAGTTTTGATCTGGCTTGAGTTGGAGGGTGTAAATATGAGGCGTGTGCTGCTTCAGGAGAGCACACACAGGGGTAAGCCGTTAACCCGTTAACGTAGAGACCACTGGATACCATAGTTCAGGGATGTTGGAGCAGGGAGAGGCAGGAAAAGGAACATGGAAAAGGGAGAAGTAAGAATATTGAGGGCAGGTACCACCTTGTTCAATTCCATGTCAACTACTATTCGTTATAAAGGTTTTGCAGATCCCAGAGTTTGTGTGTATAGAATAGGAGGAAAAAGAGAGAGAGAGAATAGGAGAAAATCTGCAGGTACTAGTTTGGGAATCTTAATTGTACTTCAAAGTAGATCTGAAGACAGCTCTGAACATTTGAAATAGCCTTTAAAAATAAAAAGTCATGACCATGGAAAAATAGCTCAGAGCACATCTATCCTTTTTATTTTAGTCTTTTCTTTCCCACTGAATTTTTAAATATATGTGGTGAGGGACTTCCCTGGCAGTCCAGTGGTTAAGACTTCGCTTTGCAATGCAGGAGTTGTGGGCTCCATCCATGGTTGGGGAGCTAAGATCTCACATGCCCTCATGGCCAGAGAACCAAAACATAAAACAGAAGCAATATTGTAACAAATTCAATAAAGAGACGGGGTTGCTGGGGAAACATACTCTAGCCCCATTTTCCTTCTCCTTGTGTCCTAGCCCTTCCTTTCCATGAAGTAACAGTTCGTTAAAGGCACGTGGGAAAGAATTAGAGTTTAATTTATTTCATAGGCCTAAAGAAAGAGAAGTCTGATAAAAAATATTAGCAGGCTACATTTAGCATGGTATCCTGGATGGGATCATACAACAGAAAATGGGCATTAGTAGAAAAATTAGTAAAATCTGAATAAAGTCTAGAGTTTAATAAAACTAATACTGTTAGTATTATAATTTTAACAGTTGTTCAATAATTATGCAAGATGTTAATAGCTGGTTCATCCATTGCCCTGCATCCTTTTACTTTGTCTCTTTTTCATAGATTAAATACATCTGCTTTCTTTTTAATTTACCATGGCAGTAAACAAGGTCAGTAATGCCGTGTGGTTGCACATGGCTGTGGACATAAACTTGATTGAAATGCCTGTAGCCAAAGTAAGCGGTTGGCATTCACCCTCCTGTATCCAAAAAAGGAGAAGTTGAAGGACGTGAGTGTGTGTTACAGCTGCTGAGGAATGCTAAGCTTCTCTGTGATAGGAATTCAGAAGAACAAACATGGTTTGGTAGCCCCTGAGATTTTGGTTGTTTGCTGCCCTAAAGGGGAAACATATTCTCAAATGAGTTTTTGAGCAAAGACTTCTTCTAAGTTTGTCTTTTGGAAGCTGTTAACAGATTTATGCACTGAAGTTTAAAAGCTTGTGCAATAGTAAAAATGATAATGTGGCCAAAGGATAATAATCCTATTTTAAGTTATTGCCTATTTAACAGTTTATCTTAAGATGATTAGCAGAGGTTACTCTGTGATGACTATACTTATAAATTACAGGTGTGTTAAAACAATTTGTATAGTAAATAGAATATGTAATATTCATAATATTTGTACCTAATTTTCAACAATCCTTTATGCAAAAGCTAAATCTTTCATGTCATTATAATAATAATCTTGTACCTGGGTTTTTTTTTAGTAACAGTTTTAAATAATGATGCATGAATTTATAAGCAGAAGTACTTAAAGAAAAAAGAAAGAAAATTATTTCTCCTTCCATCTTATTGATTGATTTATATAGTACAACATACTTGTAAGAGAGGTTTATAACTACTTAAAATAGAAGTTCAGGAATAGTAAGAAACCTAAACAAATGTGATAAGGCCAAAGCAGATAATGGGAAATAGTGGAGAAAATTAAACCAGGATTCTGCCATCTACCCTGTTCAGAAAGTAAACTTAGCATGAGATAGAATGTTTGCCAATATAGGATTTTTAATCATAAGCATCTACACAGTGAGTCTGGAAAACCTGATTTCCCTATTAAGTTCAGAATGTTCCTACCATTCTAAGAACGTAATCTACAAGGAATTTGCATAATTACACAATTGTTTAGCTTTCTACCTGACTCAGATGATATGTTGCTGTTGTTCAGTCACTAAGTAGTTTGTCCGACTCTTTGTGACTCCATGCACTGCAGCACACCAGGCTCCCGTGTCCTTCACTATCACCTGGAGCTTGCTCAAACTCATGTCCATTGAGTCAGTGATGCCATCCAACCATCCCATCCTCTGTTGCCCCTTCTCCTCCTGCCATCAATCTTTCCCAGCACAGGGTCTTTTCCAATAAGTTGGCACTTTGCATCAGGTAGCCAAAGTATTGGAGCTTCACCTTCAGCATCAGACCTTCCAATGAATATTCAGGGTTGATTTCCTTTAGGATTGACTAGTTTGATCACCTTGCTGTCCAAGGGACTCTCAAGAGTCTTGTCCAGCATCCAGTTCGAAATCAATTCTTTGGTGCTCAGCCTTCTTTATGGTCCAACTCTCATGTTTGTATGTGACTACTGGAAAAACCATAGCTTTGACTAGACAGACGTTTTTCAGCAAGGTGATATTTCTGCTTTTTAATACTCAGTCTCTAAGTTTCTCACAGCTTTTCTTCCAAGGAATAAATGTCTTTTAACTTCATGGCTGCAGTCACCATCTGCAGTGATTTTGGAGTTCAAGAAAATAAAATCTGTCAGTGTGTCCACTTTTTCCCCATCTATTTGCCATGAAGTAATGGGACTGAATGTCATGATCTTAATTTTCTGAATGTTGAGTTTCAAGCCAGCTTTTTCACTCTTCCCTTTCACCCTCATCAAGAGGCTCTTAGTTCGTCTTTGCTTTCTGACGTTAGAGTGGTATCGTCTAGAGAATGGTGCACCAGAGGATGAGACAGTTGGATGGCATCAATGATTCAATGGAAATGAGTTTGAGCAAACACCAGGAGATGGTGAAAGACAGGGAAACTTGACATGCTGCAGTCCTCATGGGGTCACAAGAGTTGGACAAGACTTAGTGACTGAAAAACAACAAGAATAAATTTGCATATATGAGGTTGTTGATGTTTCTCCCAGCAATCTTGATTCCAGCTTGTGAGTCTTCCATCCTGGCATTTTGAATGATGTACTCTGCATACACGTTAAATAAGCAAGGTGATAATATACAGCCTTGACCTACTCCTTTACCAATTTTGAACCAGTCCATTGTTCCATGTCCAGTTCTAACTGTTGCTTTTTGACCTGCATATGGGTTTCTCAGGAGATAGGTAAGGTGATCTGGTATACCCATCTCTTTCAGAATTTTTCAGTTTGTTGTGATCCACACAGTCAAAGGCTTTAGCCTAGTCAATGAAGCCAAAGTGGGTATTTTTCTGGAATCCCCTTGCTTTATCTATAATCCAGTGGATATTGGAAATTTGGTCTGTGGTTCCTCTGCCTTTTCGAAATCCAGTGTGTACGTCTGGGAGTTCTTGGCTCATGTACTGTTGAAGCCTAGCTTGAAGGAGTTGAGCATTACCTTACTGGCATGTGAAGTAAGCCCAATTTTATGGTAGCTTGAACATTCTTTAGCATTGCCTTTCTTTGGGATTGGAATGAGAATTGACCTTTCCCAGTCCTGTGGCCACTGCTGAGTTTTCCAAATTTGCTGGCTTTTTGAGCACTTTCACAGCATCATCTTTTAGGATTTGAAATAGCTCAGCTGGAATTCCATCACCTCTACCAGTTTTGCTCATAGTAATGTTTCCTAATGCCCACTTGACTTCATACTCCAGGATGTCTGGCTGTAGGTGTGACTACACCATCATGGTTATCTGGGTCATTAAGATGTTTTTTATTAGTTCTTCTGGGTATTCTTCCCACCTCTTTATAATCTCTTCTGCTTCTGTTAGCTCCTTGCTGTTTCTGTCCTTTATTATGCCCATCTTTGCCTGAACTATTCCCTTGGTATCTCCAATCTTCTTGAAGAGAAATGAGTCTTTCCATTCTATTATTTTCCAGTATTTCTTTGCATTGTTCACTTAAGAAGGCTTTCTTGTCTCTCCTTGCTGTTCTCTGGAACTCTGCATTTAGTTGGATATATCTTTCCCTTTCTCCTTTGCCTTTCGCTTCTCTTTTTTTCTGAGCTATTTGTAAGGCCTCCTCAGACAACCATTTTGCCTTTTTGCATTCCTTTTTCTTGAGGATGGCTTTGGTCACCACCTCCTGTACAATGTTACAAACCTCCATCTATAGTTCTTCAGGTATTCTGTCTAAACAGATCTAATCCCTTGAATTTATTCACCACCTCCACTGTCTAATCATAAGGGATTTGGGATTTGATTTAGATCATACCTGAATGGTCTAGTAATTTTCCCTACTTTCTTCAATTTTAAGCCTGAATTTTGCAATAAGAAGTTCATGATCTGAGCCACAGTCAGCTCCACGTCTTGTTTTGCTGACTGTATAGAGCTTCTTCATCTTTGGCTACAAAGAATATAATCAGTCTGATTTCAGTATTGACCAGCTGGTGATGTCCATGTGTAGAGTCATCTCTTGTGTTGTTGGAAGAGGGTGTTTGCTATGACCAGTGCGTTCTCTTGGCAAAACTCTGTTAGCCTTTGCCCTGCTTTATTTTGTACACCAAGGCCAAACTTAACTGTTACTCCAGATATCTCTTGACTTCCTACTTTTGCATTTCACCCCTGTATGATGAAAAGGACATCTTTTTTTTTTGGTGTTAGTTCTAGAAGGTCTTATAAGTCTTCATAGAACCATTCAAATTCAGCTTCTTGAGCATCACTAGTTGGGGCATAGTCTTGGATTACTGTGATGTGGAATGGTTTGCCTTATGATTGGATTCCAACTATCTGGGACCCAGAGAAGCCCAATACTTTAGAAGAACTGGAAGTGGTAACAAAAAATTGTGTGTAGGATGATATAAGTGATATTGTTTAGAACTGCATGAGACCCAGAGTGAGATGAGACTTCCTTATATAGTTATTCTCATATAACTTTATATAGCTACTCTCATCTCAGTTATTCCCAATGTCATTTTCAGAATCAGAACATATCTGCTCAGGGAAACATTTTTTTTAAATATCAGTGTAATTTTTTTATTATATACCACATTTCCCTTACATGCATACTACTAAGATAGAAATTTATTATATAATTATCTCATTTATTTTGCATAGAACCAGTTTTTCATAAGCTGCGCTGATGACAGAGTTGTGTTCAACAGGATTGGCAATGCCATTGCTCAGAGGATACTTAAAGCTCACAGGTAAGCTTTTTAGCATTTTGGTAGAAGTTGTTACTGCAGATGTTCTTGCATTTACTGCTAAAATGACTTTTGAAAGCCCATTTTAAAAATACTGTCTTTTTCTAGCAGACATGACTTTTGTTCAGCTAGCAGTAGGTTATTGAGTCCTTAAATCTGCGTCAGTTGCTGAGAATTTTTGAGTCCATTTTTGAGGAACTCTGAGTGCTCCCAGAGCAGTCATTTTTTCCTGGCCAGTCTCTTTCCCACACATTAGACTTGTGATTTGATTTATTTAAAGGCAGACAGTGAGTTGTGTTCACTTAAAAATCAAAGCAAAATAGTCAAAACATTTTCCCATGGGTTATATTTAAATTCTTGTTACCCTCTGTCTTTTTCAGCTCATGTGACTGTTTTCTTTAATAACACTTTTATTAAGATATAATTCACATCCCATACAATGCACCCAAAGTGGATGATTCAGTCATTTTTAGTATTCACAGGGTTGTATGCAACTATCTCTGAATCAATTTTACAACATTTTCATCACTCCAGAATGAAACTCCATACCTATTAGCAGTTACTGCCTATTCTTCCTTTTCTTAGCCCCTGGCAACCACTGATCTACTTTCTTCCTCTGTAGATTTGCCTGTCTTTGTGGCATCTAGAAATGCCACATGTAAATGGAATTATACAATATGTGGCCTTTTGTGACTTGCTTCTTTCACTTAGCTAAATGTTCTCAAGGCTCATCTATGTTATAAAATGTATCAGTATTTCATTTATTTTTATTGTCAGGTAATATCCCATTATCTGTCTATGTGTCATATAAAAGGACTTATCCATTCATCAGTTGGTAGATACTTGGTTTGTCTCTACTTCTTGGCTATTATAAATAAAACTACTATAAATATTCTGTACTGGTTTTTATGTGCAGACATGTTTACTTTAGGGGTAAAATTACTGGATCATATGGTAACTCTTATGTTTAACATTTTAAGGAACTGTCAGAATGTTTTCAGAAGTGGCAACACTATTTTACATTCCCATAGTATATGAGGTTTCCAATTTTTCTGTATCATTACTAATAGTTACAATTATCTTTCTTTTTGACTATAGTCATCCTAGTAGGTGTAAAATGGCATCTCATGTAGTTTTGATTTGAATTTTCCTGGTGACTGATAATACTGAGTATTTTTTTTGTTTATTGTCCTTTCGTGTGTTATCATTGTCCATTTTAAAATTAGGTTGTCTTTTTATTATTCAGTTGTAAGAGTTCTTTATATATTCTGCATACAAATCAGATTTATGATTTGCAAATATTTTCTTCCATTCGATGTGTTTTCTTTTTTAGTTTCTTGATACTGTCCTTTGAAACACAAAAGTTTCAAATTCTGATGAAGTTCATTACCTTCATTTCCCTTTATTGCTTGTACTTTGGCTTCATAGCTAGAAAACACTGGTCCAAAATCATGAGGATTTATGCCTGTTCCCTTCTAAGAATGTTATAGTTTCAGCTCTTATATTTAGGACTTTTTTGAGTTAATTTTTGTATATGCTGTGAGATAGAGGTCTAACTTTGTTCTTTTGTATGTGGAATATCCAGTTGTTCAAGCAGCGTTTGTTGAAAAGTCTGTTCTTCCCTGCTGAATTGTCTTGACAGGTGGGACTAGTTATTTTTATGACTGATTTTAGCTCTGTGTAGAAACAGCAAAATAAGGAAAATCACTGGTTGTGGTTTCATCACTCAGTCGTGTCCGACTGTTTGCGACCCCATGCACTGTAGCCCGCCAGGTTCCTCTGTCCATGGGCTTTCCCAGGCAGGAAACCTGGAGTGGATTGCTATTCCCTTTTCCAGGGGATCTTCCTGACCCAGGGATAGAACCCAGGTCTCCTGCATTGCAGGCAGATTCTTTACCGACAAAGCCACCACAGAAGCCCAAGAAAATCATTACATTTTTTTGTTTCAGTTCATTGAACGTATACAGTGGAGAATGTTAAGTACATATACATTTGGAACTCAAACCATTTTTTGATGTTCAGTGCCATGTAGTACTTTAATATCTTTTTTTACATATAAATATGTGGGGCTTTTTAGGCCTAAGAACAATTTACAATGGCAACTACCAGCATCTTAAAAATATTCATTTATTTATTTATGGCTATGCTGGGTCTTCGTTGCTATAGGGACTTTTCTCTAGTTGCAGCAGGTGGGGGCTGCTCTCTAGTTGCAGTGCATGGGCTCCTCGTTGTGGCGGCTTCTCTTGTTGTAGCACAAGGTCTCATCAGCTGCGGGTCCCAGGCTCTAGAGCACAGGCCTAATAGTTCCAGTGCACGGGCTTAGTTGCTCCAGGGTATATGGGATCTTTCTGGATCAGGGATTCAGTCTGTGTCTCCTACATTGGCAGGCAGATTCTTAACCACTGAGCCACCAAGGGAGCTCACAGCATTTTATGTGATTCACATATTCTATCTACAGACTCTTACTGCATTTTCACAACTACTCTTGAAAGTAGATCATATAGTTTTGTTGTTATTATTGTTGCTGTACATTTTTATTTTTTCTGTTTGATGCCTTTATTAGCATTTAATACCTTTTCATTTCTTAGTGATTGGTCTGGGGATTGTAATATGTATCTTTTTCTTTGCCCCATTTTTAAAGTTAAAACTGAGATGAAGAGGTGATGTGCCTTGTCTGGGACACTAACAGCAGAAGGTAAAAACAGCTTTGAGGCCAAGTGTTTGGACTTTGGACCAACTGCATCCCATAGCAGCTTGGCAGCTTGGCTCCGTGCCCACTCATGTCCAACTCTACAATCCCCTGGACTGTAACCCACTAGGCTCCTCTGTCCATGGGCTTTACTAGACAAGAATACTGGCGTGAGTTGCCATTTCCTACTCCAGGGGATCTTCCCAATCCAGGGATCCAACAGGCGTCTCTTTCATCTCCTGCACTGGCAGGCAGATTCTTTACCACTGCGCCACCTGTATCTCCCATTCATTGACAGGATTCCAGACCACTTCACGGTTGCTCCACATTGAGGCAAGCCGTTTGGACCTTTATAATCCTGTCCTCCCATTGACCGGTCATTGGATGTAGGCCGACTCCGGGAAATGGGTATGACCTTGAGTGAGGCAGGCTCCTTTGGCTTCTGGAGGTCAGTTCCTGAGAAGGACCACTGTGCATGAGTGGTGAGGGGCAGCAGCCAGCACTCTCAGCAGCTAAGGGAACGGCTGTCTTGGGCCCACAGTGAGGGCCTCTGGGCAGTGCGGCACAAGTCTCACCCATCCTGCAGGACCCGTTCCCACGCATCACAATCACCATTTCACAGAAACACAGAGGGCTTGGCTCCACTCCAGCTATACTGGATCAGAATTTCCTGAAGGGGATCCCAGGCACTTTTATTTTATAAATGTTTACAAGTAATTCCAGGGCACAGCCAAGATGATGTAGTACTCATCCAGAACAGCATGCATGCATGCTAAATTGGTTTAATTGTGTTCAACTCTTTGCAACCCTATGGACCATAGCCTTCCAGGCTCCTCTGTCCATGGGATTCTCCAGGCAAGAATATTGGAGTGAGTTGCCGTGCCCTCCTCCAGGGGATCTTTGCGTCTCAGGGATTGGACCTGTGTGTCCAAAGTCTCCTGCATTGTCAACCAGGTTCTTTACCACCAGTGCCACCTGGGAAGCCCCTAGAACAGGATATATGCCCATAAATATTAATAACAGTCTGTGTTTTTAGAGATGACCTTTATTCTTTGCCTTCTCAAATGCTTTTATTAAGAAAGTCATGATAAGACTGTTTCTGAGATAACTTAAAAACAGCCTGTTTACAGTTAAACATACACACACACACAGATTCCTTGCATCCTTTTCAGTCTCTCAATTTTAGGGGACAATTTATGTCTCATTTACAAAACTGCTTTATATTTCTGTCAACTCTTGCATTTTATTGATGCAGGAGTGTCCTCTTGGTCTCTAAAGCACACTGAACAGAAAAGAAAAATAATTTTTCATGAAATTGAAGTAAGTCACAAAAATACATTTAATTGACAAATGAGCTCATTGGGCTGAGCAGTGAATCATGAATTTTGGAGCTGTGATCAGCTAATCAGGAGAGTAGGATGAATCTTAGCTTTTCTCATCCCAATTAATAGTTCCCTATAGTATATGGTTTAATAAGTATCTGTAAGATTTTTTTTTAACTGTTTGGAACCTGAAAGGATATTTTTCCTTAGCATATTAATTTGTCTTCTGAAATCTGCCCTTCTTCTAAATTTATAGCACTTTTTAGAGCTGGAAAGAACTTTAAGATATATTCTAATGGAACATTTCCCAGTAACCCTGGGATCCATGGTTAGAGAGGCTGGCAAGGTAGCATCTGTTGCAGATTTTATCTCATGCCTGGGAGTTCACAGTGCACATTAAAGATGGGCCATTTCAAGCTCATTCTGTAGAAACTGGGAAATGAGATCATCAGATTTCAAATTCAGTGTGTGTCATTTCACTTTGATCTCACAATAGTCCCACTTGCTTTGACAGTCACTTCAAAGTGCTATGTGTATCACTCATTCAGACTTCCAGTGGGCACACATATGTATCCCGGAATCATATTTCACATTTTCCCCCTTCTCTGTGTCTCCACATTATTGTTCATCTCCTGTGTTAATTCCAAATTATAAAATATATTTTTATGGAGTAATGTCAAACCTGTGAGCATGTATTCTTAGGAAAAAGGTAAAAGGAGGCTGCAGGCAGCCTCCTTCTCACTGAGAGCCATCATGGGCCTTCCCCAAGCTTACCCCTCTCTCTTCCTTCCACTCTTCTCAGTCTCAGAACTGCCCTGCCAGGGTCACATGCCTAGCAACAAGTATAATTTTGGCTGTTGGAAAAAGAATAGAATACAGCACAAAGCAGATGGAGGGAAACGGCAATCAGCATTCGGCCAGCCTGACCAAGGAACACAGGCTCTTTTCCAGAGCCCTCCCTCCTTAGAGCGATCGGAGTCCAAATTGCCAAC